AAAAGGATTTCCGTTTGGGACAAAAGATGTTCCGTTTAAAAATTTTTGCGGAAACTTATCCGCCAACCTAATATTTTAAATTTTACCCCATTTTCCCGACATAAGGAGGCTCAATAGTTGAAAATACACAATAAACATTCAAAATTTCGGAGCTGTTAACTCAAAAATTTCAACTAAATGTGTGGGTGGTATATTTTGTAGAATTTTACTGAATAAAAAGCTATTACAGTAAAACCTCGATAAGACTTCTACCTTACGCCTGTCTCTCTGTCTAACCTCAAAAATATCGACTTTAAGCCATATAAGTACACCGAGAGGCTCAGATGAAAACACGCGGTCAAACATCCTAAGATATTGGAAAAAAGAAGCCTTTGTGTTTTACTTTTTTATTTATTTTATTGCATCTTCAACTGTACTTCTGTTTTCCATCTCATAGCAGTTTCAACTGTCTGTGTGCTATCAAACATGTCCGTCTGCTTTGTTCAATGTTTAGAGAATGTGCCACATAAGCTCAGCTCATTGGTTCTGAATATACGGTAAAACAGAAGATTGACTCTCGAATAGACAGTACAAAAATTTAACGAACAGAAACTTTCAATTAAATGTCTGTGGTGAGTATATTTTGTACTTTTTTCTATAATAACGACTTATTAACGGGTGAATTAATTAGACTACTAAAAGGGGATAGGTTTGCATATGCCATTTATTATTTAAAAAAAGATCTCGACAATTTTGATGAATTTTCGCCAAAATCGGCGAATTTTTGTCTCCGGTTGGCTCTAAAATTCATAATACCAACCGGAGACAAAAATTCGCCGATTTTGGCGAAAATTCATCAAAATTCGTCTGGCTCTAATTCATAATACATGTCCCAACTAACCTTGAATTCTCGCCACGATGTTTAGAATTTTGTCCTCTTTAATTCCCATATATATATCAAGCACCTGCTCGAAAATTTTCAGGATTTCCGGTGACACTCCTGTCCAAATTCGGTCAAAATCAGCTTTTTTCAGCGTCTCCTTCCGTGTCACTTAAACCTCTTATGCATGATGGCATATGGCATGTTTGGTATCAAAATGCGCGCAAGATCTCAGAGAATAACCACAACAACCGAATTTGTAAGAATCAGCGAAAAAATTTCAAGAATTTCAGTAAAAATGAACGGCATAATTGCTTCAATTCGGTCCGTTTTTTTGTGATTTTTCACTGAACTTTAAAATGGCCGTTCTTGAGTTTCAATAAACCTTATGTCGAGATCTTTTTTTAAATAATAAATGGCAAAATCTTAGCTTCAATTTGAGCTATTACTTATATATATGGCGCGAATTTGAAATTCAAATTTTCAAAAGAAATCGGCCAAAATAAATGCCGCACCCTGTACTCACCTTTCCCTCAAGTCCTTCATGTTCTCCTCAGCAAACTTTTTCAGCTCAGCGGGCCTGACCTCTCGCACAAATCCCACCTCATTAGTGGCTTCTTTTGAGGCATAGCCGACGAGCGTAAAGACTGGGACAGAGCACTGAAAAGTCTTATATAAAGCATTTGTTTGCGGAACGAAACTTTTTGAAACATGCTCAAGAATTGCCATTTCTACGGCATTGGAATTTGTGTTGTGCTTCCTGCAAAATACCTTATCGAAATTTGGTTTCTTCAGGTAAGTTTGGTTTTACCTGTCAAGACTGTAGACGGCGGCTCCGTGAACTCTGAAACAGGCGAAATTTATCGTTCGGTTGTGGCATTAGAAATACTAAGACATTTTGGTGGGATAAGAGATAAATACGATAAATTTACCGTTATTTGGTGTGGAAAACTTAAGCTTAAGTCCGATTTTCATTCCAAAAGATTCAATGCCTTGGTAATTTTTTAAATTAATACGAGCACATTCTACTTTAGTGAATCATTTAGTGAATCATCGCTGTTATATTTGTAAAAATTTACCATCACGCCTACTTATTTTTATTACTTGACTATCCAATTCTAAACATCTAAACCGCGCACATCTATGTTAATGAATCACCAGTTTTACATACACTCAACTAAGTTCATATAAATAAATTGATGGGAGGAATGGCAAGCAGACAGTCAGACACGTAATAAGAGAAAAGCAAAACTAGAGGAAATTTGAAATCTTGGACATTTGAAGTGTTAACCCGTACACATTCCCGTTAGAGTGGAAGGAATTATGGGTTTCTAAAACGCATGCATTAACTTTATTTTGCCGGAAGAAAAAACCTACTCCATACTCATTTATTTATTACTTGGAGTTTGGTAAGGTATTCTTAAGAAATACGAGATAATAATAATAAACTGCAGTGTGCAAAAGTTCATCATTCGAAAATGTATTCAAGCCTTGAATACATTTTCGCATGATGAACTTTTGCAGGGGACTTGGTAGGGCTTCCATTCCTTTCGGTACACTGCTGAAATGCGTATTCTATGTGCTCTGCTGGATCATGATTATTGGAATGAGTCTTTTCGGCTTTCCGAATCATATGTCTTTGTTTAGTATGCGAAATGATATTTATAAATATGAAGCTTGATATGGTTAATTCAGTAAAGCGTGAAAAATACAGTCCCGTAAAAAACAAAATCTTCATGTAATTAACAAAAGAGTAGTGTTGTGTGAATTTTTATCCTTCAAAACGGATTAAAATTTTCGATTTTTGCTTTAGGGCTTTCTTATGGAAAAAATGTTCTTTTCTGGAGGGGTTGAAGGGGATATCAGAATTTTTCGTGCTGTGGTCCATTGTTTGGTTGGGCTTCTCTTATGCTGGGAATGAATGAAGTATTTTCTATTTTCTTAATCATATGTTTTTGATTAGTATCCGAAATTATTATTAGTTTATAGCCTTCAAATCGTATTTTGTGTGTTGGAATTCCTGATAAATCCTATATCGAAATAAATAAAATATTCCTTTTCCAGAAGATGTCAGTGTTATTTATAAAAAAATATACGCCACACCCGCTTTTGTATATCACTTTAAATCGTTAATATTCACGTTAGAAATGAGATTAGGTAAACTTCAGTGTGTAAAACTAGGACATGTAATAACAATTAACCGCTCAAAAATGTACTCTAGGATTGGTCGTCGGCAGAGCTCAAAAAGCGGTGTGCAAAAAATGTTATACTAAAATAGTTGCATATTAACTTTGTGTAGGAACTAGTTGTGCTCTGCTGTCAGTGCATTAGCAGAATGAGTCTTTTCGACTCTCTGTATCATATTGATTTGTTTAACATTCCAAATGTTTCGTTAAAAAGTTTGTTTTAGCATCAAAAGTGTCTTTGCTAAAGCTGAGCGTTATAACTCACAAGTAATTAGAAAAAACCTACGTTGTGTATATTTTTTAATTGGTACAACCTAGGATTTACCCTTTCGGGTTTCCTTTGATAAAAAAAATTTACTTTTGGAGCGGTTAAAGTAGAATTAAAAATAGAATGAGTCTTTTCGACTCTTTGAATCGTATCGCTTTGTTTAACATGCAAAAATTTTTGTTTGATATATGGTGCTAGCATAAAAATAGTGTGTTTGCTAAAGCAAGACTAATGAACTCATCAAACCACGAAGTACAAGTGCTTACCAAAAGAGTTGTGTGTATTTTTATTTTCAAAGAAATTCAAACTCAGGATTTTTGCTTTGGGATTTACTTTTGCGAAAAATCCAGGTTTGGCGGCGTTGAAGAGGATATCATAATTTATAGCTATAGTACATTTTTCGGTAACGAAGCCCTTACACTCCTTTCAGAGCACTGCCGAAATGAGTACTCTCTGTGCTCTGCTGGGAATGCGAATGAATGAAAAAGCTTTTCAAAAAATTGCATCCTATCTCTTTGTTTAGTATTTAAAATTGTAGTTATTAATTTAAAGCTTGAAAAGATTAGTGTATTGGATAAAACATAAGGAAAACGTGAGATCAGCCTCGACGCAAGTGTTAACAAAAAATGTGAGGTGGGTATTTTTGCCAATTTTAAATTTTTGTTACAAAAACGTTTATTTTCACTAATATTTTTCTTTCACTGCATTTTAATAGTACAATCCAAAAGCCAACTAACCGATATTCTCGTTATCGATGGTCACCTGAGCGTGAGATTTCAGACGAGGTCTGAAATTGTGCAGCTTTCCATGCAAATATGGCTGAAGGTTCGATCGTCCTCTGAAAATTTATCAATTCAGGAATCATACCAGCCAAATATTTTTCGTGAAAACCTAACAAATCCCGGAATATGAAAGTTGTCTGAATATAGTGTTTAACCGGCTTGGCTCCGGGAGGTTTACCGCCTTCATCAGAAGAATCCTTGGATTTTTTAGAGAATTTTTTAGAGAATCGGTCTAAAAGGCGATACTCATAGACATTTGGAAAATACTATGATAGGCGAAGAAATTTAAAACCAATCGTGTTCTGGAAAAATATACTCACAACAGATATTTCCTCAATATCTGTTGGTCAAACTCAATTTTCATTGAACTTTTTCTGTGTGATGCATAATAATATTGACAAAACTAGCGAAGTGGGGCCGCTTCGCGGCCCTCACTTCGCTAGGAAGCGGTTAGCGTGCATCAGCGGCGCTTCGCGCACCGCCATCAGCGGTCAGGGTTGGGTTTTTCGGGAGTAGAGCAGCATGAGACTATTTCGGGCCTTCGGCCCTCAAGCAGCTGTTGTTCGGGAGTATATGTTCTAACTTTACTCACATTCCAAGGGGGAAGGTCGGGCCCTCCGCGCCCGACCAAAGGATTGGCTCGCCGCCTGCGGTGGCTCGCAACTCAGGCTCAGTCTAAGTTTGGCTCAGTCTGAGTTATGCTCAGTCTAAGCTCACTCATGAAACCGTTACAGACACCAAAAATAAGCACTGGATAGAATGCAAATCAAATCGGGTGGTCGATTTTTTTTGAACACCCGTTATATCCTATGAAAACCTCGTGCCAACTTCAGATATCAGTGATTTTTGGAAGATAAATGTGAGAGTGGCAGAGATATAAATGATAAACAAGCTCATTTACTCGTGGTCGCCAATGGCTCAGTTGGTAGAGCAATGGGCCTTCGTGCCGATCGGAGCGGGTTTGGATCCCGCCGGCGACCACAACACCGGACGTTAAAACTTTTTTTTATTTTCAAGAGTCTATTATGAAATTCAATGTTATTTTTGCAAAAAATAAATTTTGTTGGACCATTTTTTGGCAAAAATTATTTTTGGCAACATTTTTCGAAAATTTAACTATATTATTTTGCAGAATTTTGTTTGTTTGTTTGTTTGCGACGCTTATATCTGACGATCCGTTCGTTAGTTTTTTATGAGTGATAGCTCATTTTGTAGCTGATGATCTGTAGGTTTCCCGAAAATTGTCAGATTTGAAATTTGAAAATTTGAATTCGCGCCAAAATGGAAAAACGTGTTTTTTAAGCGTTTTTGTCAATGGATGTTTGTGTTTTTTGTTTTATATCGCAAATATATATTATTTAGAACATTTCTGCTTTTTAAATTTTTGGTTTTCGTTTTTTGTATCATTTTTTATGAATTTTTTGGTCATTTTTTGTCCAAAAAATGGGTTTTTCGTATCTGACGATAAAACTTTCTGAAAATTTGCATACAGGGGTTTTCGGATATGCTGAATCCGATTTTGAAATCAGATTTGAAATTTGAAAATTTGAATTCGCGCCAAAATGGAAAAACGTGTTTTAGCCTGTTTTTCACTTGAACATATGTCCTTTTTTGTTTTATATCGCAAATATAGATTATTTAGAACATTTCTGCTTTTCAAATTTTTGGATTTCATTTTTTCCAAATTTTTATGAATTTTTTTGGTCATTTTTTGGCCAAAAATTGGGTTTTTTTTGTGCCAGATTTGGTCATTTCTGGCCATTTCTTCACCAACAAAGTCGATTTTTTTATATCCAACTAGGAAACCTTGAAAATTTACATCCAACGTTTTGTCGACATCCTGAATTCGAATTTGAACGATTTCATTTAATATTTTAATTTACGCCAAAATAAAAAATTGTGTTTTAAGTCATGTCTTTTTTATTTGTGTCAATTAATTAAGTGATTTCAAACATTCCTGCGTTTTAAATTATCAAATACAAGCAGATTGCGGCTTCGCCGCAATCTGCTTGTAAAAATGGTGGAGCGTGAGTTGTTCGGGAGATTGGGTTCTTCATCGCTTCGCGCACCGCCATCAGCGGTCAGATTGTGTTGTTCCTATGCGTAAAAAGCCACTTTTTGAGATCTCCCCAAAAAAATTTTTCTGGATTCGTTCTTAGAATTCTCTGGGGAG